AAGTTGTCTCAGGCTATCCTTTCATGTCCTTTCCACATGCAGAAACCAAAGTGCCATCTGAGCTCTGGTCTGCTAAGAAACCAGCTGGGGGATGCGGTTTCTATACAGACATTGAACCAGTTCATAAACTTGGGCGCCATCTACTTCAAGAGTTTATGAAATGCATAAATGATAGCATTTTTATATCCATGGGAAAAGGGGGATATTTACTTTTCCAAGGTCAGACTGCATTTATTACCAAAATTTAATTTTTTCCCCATTGGACATCTGAGATATATTAAAGGCAATGCAATCTCTGACAGTGGTGAAATATTACCTCTGAGATGTGGTCAGTGAATTTTTACTTTTGCACATAGGTTTTTATCCTTTTAACGGTTCCATCTTAGGACTGCATGGCTGAGAGAAGCCAGGAAGAATATTGGGGTCAGAGCTGCCAATTAACCTTTTGATTTTGTAGTCTGATTACTCGATTAATCAAGGGCCCTGAGCCAGAGGCCGTGATGGAGAGGCATTTTGGCTGTGGAATAACAATATCCAGAAAGACTCTTTGGGAACCAGTGTGATGAATGGGGAAGCCAAGAAGAGGAGGAAAGGTGGGCAGGTGGTGCACAAATGTCTGCACTTCCCACACAAGTAAAGCAAACTTGAGCAGTGGGGCTCTCAAGCCCAATGGATAGGATTTTGGAGAATACTGTTTGTCTTCTCACAGTTTGACATAGCATGTGATTCTATGGGTACTGGAGAAGAGGAAAAACACACAGTCCTGTATAATCTCATTCATTCAACCTTCACTAATTCAGAATTTCTGCTTATTCTACCTGGGATGCAGGTCCCCCCTGCACTCTCTGTGAAGAACAAATTTGAGATGCAAATTGAGAATAAAAATGAGACTATAGGTGATATCTTTAATCTACTTGAGATATCACATTTTTAAAGGCTTCTGTATATGACTTCAAGTATCCATGATTTCACAGATAATAGATGTTCTTTCCAATGACACAGATGACACCATCTTCCATACTTTAATCAATAATTTAACATGTTGTACTCAAACAAATTTGTATTACTTAGTGACCAACATTCTGGGGTTAGGCTTTTCCAATTTTACCTAGTGCAGTCCTTTAACAGTATTTTGAAATGTACTAAGACCTGGTAAAGCTTTTGAGGTGACCCTCAAAAATCCAGGGTCACTTCTGTGCTGTATAACAAGGTATCAGAGTAGTACTGAAGTGGAAATCCAGTACATTATATTCATGTAAATAGTGCTTCTAATTACAAATTAATTTTATCTTCCTGAAATGCTTTCTTATTCATCAAAATCTACGTGCTATTCAAAGCCCAACCCTAACTACGTTAATTCACATTGATCTCTCTCTTTCCTGACACAGGGTGTGGAGACTTTATCATACAGTCTAGCCCACGATTATATACACTGTCTTATACTATTATATAATTGTGTGTATGTGTGTTGCTTTCTCAGCTGTATTGGAAGGTTCTCAGGAGCTGATTTTGTATCTTACAAACTTTTGTTTCCCCAAAAATGTGCAAAGCTAGGCACACTCTGGATACTTAGTAGATAGATTTTTAATTAAATTATCTAAGGTTTAAGAGAAGCTTGAACTGCATTGCTAATAGAGTTATTGTGTGTGTGCTTGAGGGGGATAAAAGTAATTTTGTTCAAACATATTCCTCTTTCAGATTTGTCACTTGTTTATCCTGGCCTTTCCCTAATAGGACTGAATGGCCAGAGTTTCATTGTCATTTAAACCCAAAAATAATCTGCCCCCACCTTCCTGACCAAACCTCTTGCTGCAAGCTGATAATCTTCTCTGTGCTCATGGAGAGAGAGAGTAACAGGTAACATGGAGTTGTTGAAAGAGGTCTAGCCTGGGAGCTAGGAAGCCCTGGAGTCCATGCCTCATGAGTCTATTCCTTCTTCAGGCCTGTTTCTTCATATTTACAGATGAAAGACTTCGACTAGATGGTTTTTAAGGTCTTGAGAAAGTCACTTAAATTTTCTGAGGCCAACTTTCCACATCTGTAAAATGGAAATTCTAGTAGAGATTTTTATAGCAGGAAGAACCCAAGACTAGGTGTCCAGATATGAATTCTAGTTCTTGTTTTGCTGCTTTCCAAAGGAGGAAGCAGATTTCAGAGAGGCTGCTCAGTAGAGCAAGGTTCTTACCCTAGGCTCCATGAACTTGAATGGGAAAAAATATATAATCATTAATTTTTGTTGTTGTTTAGTCATTTTCAGTCATGTCCAATTCTTTGTGACCCCTTTTTGGGGTTTTCTTGGCAGAAACACTGGGATGGTTTGCCATTTCCTTCTCCAACTTATTTTACAGATGAGGAAACTGAAGCGGACAGGGTTAAGTGACTTGCCCAAGGTCACAGAGCTAGTAAGTGTCTGAGGCCAGATTTGAACTCAAATCTTCCTGACTCCAGGAACACTCTATCTATCCACTGTACCACCCAGCTGTCCCTAAATGAGCTCTAAATAAAATGGAATTTTCCCTTCAATTATTTAAAAACTTCATTCTAAAAAGGGGTCCATAGGTTTTACCAGTCTACCAAAGGGGTCTGACACACAGAAAGATTAAGAACCCCTGTAATGGAGCTCAACACTAAACTAGACCAGGTTGCAAGAGTTGGACTTACCAGTCATGCAACCTTGGGTAGATTTTTTAACCTCTTAGCCTCACTTTCATGTCCTATAAAATGGAGGTGATAGAATCATCAATACAGAAGAGACCTTACAAACTACTCCAGCTCTCTCATTTTGCAAGTGAAGAAACTAAGGCTGAGAAAGATGAATGACTTGCCCAAGATCACATGGGCAGGAATTGCCAGTATGAGATTTGAATACAGAGCCTTTGACTCCAAATCTAGGGTTCTTTCCACTGTACCACGTATGTGTTTATCCCTTCCCTGCCAAGCCCACAGGACTATTGAAAGGTTTAGGTAATTGATATGAAAGCATTTCAGAAACTTTGAAACATGCAAAACTGGTGTGTTACAGTGTCGTGGTATCATAGGATCATAGTTTTAGGACTGGAAGGGCCTTAGATATCATTCTAGTCCAACCACCTCACATTAGGAAACTGAGACCCAGAGGTTAAGTGACTCGCCTTGGGCCCCTTTTGGCTTCGTGATCCTGTGTGTGGCCAAACAGGGAAAAACTCAGGATGAAAGAGATAATCAGGAGAGACAGATTTAATCAATCCATTATCTGGATGATGTGCCCATAGTGGTGATGCCATCTACCCTCTGGCCTCCTTTCTCATCAAGGCTGTGGACAGTATGACCCAGCCAGCTATGTTGTCCAGGATGTGCCCCATACTTAGAGCAGTTTTAGGGATACTAGGATGCAACATTTTGAGGACCAGATTCCTCTCCTATTCTCATACAGCACTCCGTCACCCCCGAGAGCTCCCGGAGCTTGGCTTGCTGATATTGTTAGCCTCCCATGGCAGTGGCCTTTCAGAGAGGAAATCCCAGCTGCCATAGAGGAAGGGACACCCTGGTGTGACTGACCATGATTTAGCAGTTTGGCAGTCCTGGACAGTGCTGTTGATAAAGCAGGTTGATTTGGGAGGCATCTTCAGTGTGTTTAAATAAAGCCAGTTGTGCTAATTAATGGGGGGATAAATCGAGGTTTAATTATTCGGAAGGCACCTTGGGTGAAAGATTCATGATAATTGTTGTGTATCCTCTTGATGGATTCCTGCAGCTGGCAGTTCCCTTTACAGCAGTAAAACATGCTGTGTGTGCCTGGTGCATTAGGGTCTCTCTTCTTGACTAGGACCCTTCCATAGGGAAAGAAGCAACACAATCTAATGGTCCTTATTTTCTTTGGAGTAACTTTCAGATCCCCCCTCACCATCTACGTCCCAATGAGGTTTTCTCCACACATAGCTATAAAATCAGATGGCTTGTTGGCAGAGAGAATTCCTTGTAGAGTAATTCCTTAAACCAGGAATAACCCATATGTGTATAACACTTTTTATTACAAAGCATATACATTACCAATAATGTGCATGAAAAGCTCCATTCTTGTACTCACAAACTCTCCAAAACAATAGGATACTTTCCCTGTGTAATACACTGCCTAATGCCACTTGTAAACCTGACACAGTGTTACCATAGTAATTGATTTGATTTCATTGATATGAAAAAACTGGACCAAAAGGACAATCCAAATTTCATACACTTAAAATTTTCTCAATGGCCAGTGTGTATACATTATCTCATTTAATCCTCACAACCCTATAAGATAAGTAGTAAAGGTGTTACTATTCCCATTCTACATAGGAAGAAACTAAAGGCTGAAAAGTTTAATTCCAAAGACACTTAGCTAAGTTCCAGAGCCAGATGTTTCAACTTTGGCTTGTCAGTTTCTTCTCTTCTGACTTGCCTTCTTGAAATCCACTTCCCAGTATGTGCTGGGATCCATGCTGCCTACCCTACTTTCATGCATTAACCCAGCAAAATGGTTTTTGACTAAGGTCAGTCTGCAGTAACCACAAAGTCAGCCCTCTTGATGATACTAGCAGAAATCTGGCAAGAGGCTCTGGGTCTGGCTGACATCCAGCCTAAAAGTCTGATATGCATTTTTAAACAGTAAGAAATTTTAGGGTGGAATTATCTCAAACTTGGAAGTCATGTATTGCTAATGAGAAGTGACTCCTTCCTTCACAGCTTACCAATCCCGAACAGTCCTGTTGATAAAGCAGGATGAGGCATAAGTTAAACTAGCAGTGATAGTCATTCACCTACATCCTTACCCCAATATAAAATTTTGAAAATTTAAACTTTAAAGATGAGGAAATCAAAGCTTAAAGGGATAAAATGACCTCCCAGAGCAAGCTATTAATAATCCCAGGACTGGAACCCAGGCTTCCCGCCTCCCAGCCTAGAGCTGTATGGAGAAGCTGAATTGTCCTTAGACGCATAAAACCTCTTGATCCAATGCTGTCTCATACCTTCTAACTTTGTAGATCTGAAAAAGAAATTGGAAAGTTCCGAACTGAGAAATCAACGCCTAAAAGAGGTTTTCCAGACCAAGATCCAAGAATTCCGTAAGGTCTGCTACACCCTGACAGGATATCGGATAGACCTCACCACCGAGAACCAGTATCGCCTTACCTCTATGTATGCAGAGCACAAATCAGACTGTCTCATCTTTAAGGTAAGTTTCTATTTCTGTTTCAAAACCTTCCCACTTCACTCTCTGCTCTGCTGTTAATCTTTGATAAAGCTGATGACACGTGCTTTCCGTTCTAATTGGTAGGAGAAATCAAGTCATTAGCCCTTGATAAATGAGTGCTTTTCTGCTGAGGATGTCCTCAGGTTCTGAATACAGAGTGCCACCAAAAAAAAAAAAAAGTGCCTAGCCAAGTGTACTAATTTTATTTATGCACCAGTACCCAAAAGACCCTGCTCTATGCTCTTGCCTCTCATAGTTTCTTGTCCAGTGGAATATCTTCACTCAGTTTCCTCCCACTTCTCAGCAGGCTACTGATTCTCCCTGCCCTATATCTATATCCACCATTGCTTTGGCTTATCTTTTCCAAGTGAGCCTCCTTCAGTCCCACCCAAGTGACAAGGTGGTAACCCTGATCTGGTGGACAGCTTGTCACCTGATGAGTTCTTAAGAGAACACTAAAATTAGATAAAAATGCTATTACTTGACCAAAAAGTTTAGAAGGATTGTAAAAGTTACACAGGAAAAGAAAAGATTGGTATCAATTCAGTAATAAACTATCCAAATGATTATTCTATTACATCTTAAAAAGAACTTCAAAGAATTCTATTTGGTTCTCTCTTAGTGAAGACATTCTTTAACCTGATGGAATGGTGTAGAGTTAGATGCTTGGGTTGGGTACCTTGGTTTCTGGGCAGAGATTATTATAGGGGAGTGAATCCTGAATATGGTCCCAGTAAGCATATCTAGAGATTCTTTTAAATTAGTAAAGTAGTTTAAAGTGGTTTTCCCCCCATTTTTAGGGTGTGATGCCCACTTGAGTATCACATTGGGAACTGGGATTGGGAATGGACTTTGTGACTCCAAGGAGTGGCTATCCTTCGCTCTGGTGAGTTGCTGTCTTAGGGAGTTGGTGTTACAGAGCATCGCAGTAAAGTAAGTTAGCTTACAAAGAGTATTTCAGTACTGAAGGATTAGTCATTTATTTGGTACACTTGCTCCCCTCGTTGATGCAGGTCACATTTCCTCCTTTACTTAGTGAGTGGTTTTCAAATGTAACTGTTTCAGGTCTTTGGACCAAAAGCCCATCACTGAGTCTATCCTGGAAGCTTTTCCAGCTTAGTAGAATTTGCAAGAGTTGAGGCTCTGCTATCATAGCCTTCAAGAACACAGGTCACTGCCATGTCACAATTAGACATAGGACTTTTAGTAGAGGATAGAGAAGAACCCCTAGCTTCAACAGGATTGAGATTAATTCAGTTCAGTCAAATTCAGCAAACATTTATCAGCATATACTATATACAGAGCAGTATGAGGTATTCTTGGAGAGATGCAAAGTTTAGATGCTCTATGCTTCCTTCCCTGATGGAGTTTATATTCTAGTAGGCATATGTGACACTTCACTAAAACCTTTACTTGCTTTAGTACTTGAAGGACCTGAGAGTTCATTCCCATGGACACTCCCTCCACTGACAGATCACAGGTGCTCCATGCCATAGGAGATATGCTTGTTTGGTTTACTCTTTCCCAGAAAATGTATTATGCTTGTGGTGTGTTCATCTTTCTGACAGTTAGCATCTCCAAAGCAAGCCAGGTTGATCCTAAGGCAGCAGACATAAGCATACCACCAGGCCAGTATTTCTAGCTCCGTATCACTATAGTACAAAATGATAAAGGTTAAATCTGAGAGATGCAAGCATATAGGATAATTTTGAGGTCCAAGGAAGGCTAAGTTACTGATTGGTGGAATCAGGGAAGGATTCAAGGTGGCATTTGAGCTGGTTAGAGACAAGGAAGAGCTGGCTGAGTGTAAGGATTGTGAAAGTTTGAAAGTTTGAAATGGGTTATTGAAGGAGCATGTGAGCAGGAGAATATACAAGATGATCTTTTGTAGTCTTTATTTGATACATCCTCACTACAAAAATAAAGCTTTGGATTCTATCGCTTGGTACTGTTGAAGCTGAAGTTCCAGGTTGCCAAGCCCTCTCCCCTCTTTGCCCTCTCCATGACAGTCAGACTTAGGGCTGCAGAACCTCATCTCTTGTTCAGCTCAAAATCCTAACAAGAATCATTAAAAATGAATCACTCTAGCCAGCTAAACTGGAAGAGTATCCTCAGGCTGAGCCAATGAGCTGAGCCCGAGCACCCCAGCCAGTGCTCCCTACCATTTACAGCACAATTGGGAGCCCTTGTCTTCTTCATTGCAACAACTGCAATTAGCCCTTGAGTCATCCATGCTTTGGTCCAAGGCTTCCTGGGGCCATGGAACTGACCTGCCATGGCAGCAGGGTCAAGGTGCAAAGGGGGTAGAGAGCAACTCAAGTCTAAAGACAGTGCCCATTTTATTTCCCTCTCTGCCCAATGGTGTGATGAATGAGGGCAGAGGCCAATGAATCATACTAGCAATAAGGAAGCTAAGTCGCTCTTCTTTAATGTTATAGGCTGGTCTGGTACTTACGGCCCAGGATTGAAATGAAATGAGATACTTGTAGGCCCTCTAGCAGTTATCCAAAAAGATTTGCTTTGACATAGCATGAAAAAGATACTTAGGAAGGATATAACATGGCTTCAGCTAGATGCAGCCCTCTCTTGTCTCTGTTTGGAAATGTATCTGGTCATCCAACTGTTTTGGGTGTGGTGGCTCAAAAAACAGAGGGACATCTGCTGATTCTGGAGAAAACTGCCTTCTTGTGGATGCCTGCCGGCCTTTTATGTCCTAGACCAATGGTATCAAACTTTAAAATATGTAGATCCCTGTGGATCACATAGTGACTTGGAAAACTACAAATTAACATTATCTGTGTTATATTTTTATTTATTTTGTTAAACCTTTCTCAGTTACATTTTAATCTGGTTCAGCCACACACAGGAGTTTTGTGGGGCAAGTTGCCTGTAGGCTGCGAGTTTGATACCTCTGTCCTACAGAACTAGGAAGCTTGAGCCTTATCCCCTTCAGCCAGTCAAATCTCAGGGACAGCTTTCCTGCCTTTTGGGACAAAAACTAATCTGTCCTGCATTGTAGATGTTGTTCCTACAGCATTCAGCATCCAAACAGTGAGAATAGGACATGTGATAGAGTGTCAGTCACTACCTTACTCCAGTACCCTGGTGCCCCAGTCTTGCCAAGTGCTCAAACCTGTAAACTTAGGCTTGCCCACATTCTGAAAGCAGTTCTGAGTGGCATGTACACTGAGATCCATTGGCATTTGGTTTTATATAAAACCCTTGTTGTTGGCATCTTCTGCCAACATCCTTGTTTCTAGGTCTATTTGACTCCCAGATGCTAGATCTTGCCTACTTATACCCCATGATACCTGCCTCTTTCTTTTCTTAGCCGACTGTTTTTGGCTTGACCTCTGCTGACTCAGAGTACCCACTAGCTCTTTCTATCTAGCTGTGTGTCTGCTCTTTGCTTCTCCTAATTTACTTCTGGACTTGCTGCCTAAGTCTAGAGTTAACAAATAAAAATGTCTCTGAGACGCTATAGGTGTGAATGGATTAGTACCAACAGGTGAATAATAGAGACCTTACCTTTTGGGACATGTTCAAAGACTCAGAGAGGGAAAGAAACTTTGTTAATGTGGCTGTGAGGTAGCGAGACAGCACTGTGTCTAAACATACAGAACAAACCCCACACTTCCAGGCTAGTACCTCGGTAAGAAATTTGCTTGGAGTCTGGGGAAACCAGGTTGGGAGTTTAGAGTTCAGGGGGGAGTTAAAGAGAAGAGATAGAGAGTTTAAGATACCTTTCCTAGTAATGGAGTCTAGTACCACCTAGATCATTATAATTACTTACACTTTTTATAGCACTTTACAGACTTCTTCATACCAACCCTGTGAGGCAGGTAGTATCAAGCTTCCTATCCCTATCTTAAAGACAAGGAAACTGAGGTACAGAAAGCTGAAGTGACATCTCTGCAGTCACAAAGCCAGTAAGTTATCTTACCTGACCTTCCTCAACTCCCTAGACACCAAGCTCAATCTCCTTTTCACTGTACTAACTGCATCCCATATGTTCTGCATTCCATCCTCAGATGATCTCTTGGCCTTCTAAGCAAAAAGAACTGTCTTGTCTTATATAGGAAGAGATAATACAGGTGTGATGGCAATAAACCATCAGGCCCCCATGCTGCCATGGCTGAAGCACATTATGAATCTGTACCCTGACTGATTCCATGGAGAACAGTGCTCAGCTCTGAAGCACTTGGGTCTTCCAGTGATGCAGCAAATCCTTGTTCCCGTCCCCATTCCATGACCGAGCTTTGGGACACATGATTCTACCCAAATGATCAGGGCAGTGGCTTAGCACTTGGTGGGATGGACTCTACCTAGCTTAGCCTGGCAAGCCTGTGCTATACTCCCCACTATACTAACAGAAACTGTTGTTTCTGTACCACTGTTCTAATGAAGCTCTTAGACCATTTTCACAAACATTATATGGCTGATTCTCACAGCAACTCTTTGAATGTATAAAAGACTGGAATTCTTTTCCTAATTACTCAAGGTCACACATAGGTATTACCCCTCTTTTCTCAGACCCTAAAATTCCTCACATCTATTGGTTCCTCATCATTCAAGAACTTTCTATATGACACCATAACATAAAATGAGGAAGAGTCTAGAGCTCAAATCCTGAATCCCAGCCCTCTGAACTTCAACATCCCTTTTTTTCAGAGCTGGGAAGATCAGGTTAGACTGCTCAGTGTCAAAATTGTTCAGGGCCCACAAACAGATTAGGCTTTTAGTAAAATGAATAGGACTCAGAGAGTCCCTAGATTTCAGCTAGACCTAACTCAATTGTTGTATAACAAGAGTCACCAATTCTTTTCCTAATGAATTTTTTATAAAAAAAATTCCTTGAGTTTTTATTATTGCTACCTCTTGACTAGAAAGAAATTTTAAGTTTCTGTCAGGGGAGAGGCACATGATAGCAATAATCTGGTTGGTCATGACCAGGTATATAGCCAAAGAATCTGTAAGTAGAT